GAGAAATGCAAATCAAAACCACATTGAGATACCATCTCACTCCAGTTAGAATGGCGATCATTAAAATATCTGGAGACAATAGATGCTGGAGAAGATGTGGAGAAATCAGAACACTTTTACACTGTTGGTGGGAGTGTAAATTAGTTCAACCGTTGTGGAAGACAGTGTGGTGATTCCTTAAGGACCTAGAAATAGAAATTCCATCTGACCCAGCAATCCCATTACTGGGTATATATCCAAAGGATTATAAATTGTTCTATTATAAGGACACATGCACACAAATATTCACTGCAGCACTGTTTACAATAGCAAAGACCTGGAACCAACCCAAATGCCCATCGATGATAGATTGGACAGGGAAAATTTGGCACATATACACCGTGGAATATTATGCAGCCATCAAAAATGATGAGTTTGTGTCCTTTCTAGGGACATGGATGAACTTGGAAACCATCATTCTCAGCAAACTGACACAAGAACAGAAAACTAAACACTGCATGTTCTCACTCATAAGTGGGTGTTGAACAATGAGAACACACGGACACAGGGAGGAGAACATCACACACTGGGGACTGTTGGGGGCTAGGGGATTGGGGAGTAATAGCAGGCGGGTAGGGAGCTAGAGGAGGGATCACATTAGGAGAAATACCTAATGTTGATGATGGGGTAATGGATGCAGAAAATCAACATAGCATGTGTATGTAACAAATCTGCACATTCTACATGTGTACCCCAGAACTTAAAGTATAATTTTTTAAATGTTAACTTTCTCTGGTTATCTTAAATTTTATAATCACAGAACAATAGATTTTTGTGTATTCTAAATCTCTCTTAAACACTAGTATTTCATTATCTAAACAATAAAATGAAAACTAAAATAATCATTTTGACTTCTAAAAAAAAGCCACATTAGTTGTTTTTAAAACAACATGAGGTGACTGAATATGTTTCTCCAAACCAATTTCTTCAATGAGTTCAGCCAGTCAGTCATATACAGTTGTGTTGCCTGAAAATTGCTCTTTTGCTACATTTTTGTAAACCTTTTGGCATTAAATTTTCATATAACAGAACCACAATCAAAGTTAACATCATATTAGCTGATGTTTAAACTTTGAAATAATCAAATTGGAAAGTAAAAGAGAGCAGTAGCAGAAAATTAAGTCTAAGATAAACATTAATAAAGAAGATAACAGATATTTAGATTATCGCCTCAAAACTATAAGATCAGATATTAGACTGGTTTTTAACAACACTATTACAGTTATTATGACCTGCAGAGCCATAGTTAAAACACTGGATTTCAGGGACAAGAAAAGTAGAACATTGTTGGCTCATCAGGGTCCCTCTGAATCACTTACCAGTCACAATTTACTTTCTCTTCATATTTTCTGATTCTTTCTTTTGCCTAAGTCTGCTGTTGAAACTTTATAGTGAATTTTTCATTTTAATTGTTGCATTTCTCAGCTCCAAAATCTATTTGGTTCTTTTTAATATTTTCTATCCCTTTGCTGAAGGTTTCATTTTGTTCCTGTATTGTTCTAATGAGCTTATTAATCACCTTTATGGTGGTTAGTTTTAATTATTTGTCAGGTAATTAGTATCTAATTGTTTCTTTAGAATCAGTTTCTGAAAATCTGCTTAGCTCATTTGATTGGACCAATTTTTCTCTGCTTCTTTGTGTTCCTTGTAACTTTGCATTGGTATCTACATACTTTAACAATATACCTACTTCTCCCAGTCTTTGTAGACTGGCTCCAGACAAGGAAACATCTTCACCAAGCAGCATAGCTACAGATTCAGGGGACATGTCAAACATTTTCTGTAGATGTGTCTCCTCTGAATGTGTGTGTCTAGGTTCCTAATTAGAGAGATTTACCAATTTCTTTTTTCCTGGAACTCATAATCTCTTTCTCCCTTGGTATCTATCTCTTGTACCACAGGTTCTCCAAAATAGCAGCATGCCACCTCTTTTTTGTTCCCAGTGGCCTTCCAGGCATCCAGAGCACATGAGATCTCATCAGTGTCCTAATTTGGGATATATAGAAACCAATCCCTCTGGAAACCCGCCAAAAGCCAGAACATCACATATGTGTTCCACTTTTCTCTCCTCCTAAGGAAGAGACTGCCAAGCACCATTGACCTCTGTTGGCTATACCACAGTTCCTCTGGAGTAGCAGCACACTGCCCAGCTCTTTTGTTCTAAGGAGCCCCCAGGTATCCAGAATATGCCATTTCCTTCCAATACACTGAAATACATGAGACAAAAGCCTGTCCCCAAAGAAGCCCCTTGAAAGTCAGAACAATGGACACATGCTCCAATTTTCTCTTTCCCCAGGGAGAAGCCAGGAGCTAGAAGTGTCCCCCTGATCACATGGTACTGTGCCACAGAGAGACTATGGCAGGAGAGTGCCACAGATTCTTTCACTGGCTTTGATGTAGCTGTTTCCCCATTTGCCTTGGATGCAAAAGTTTCTTAACTGGTTTCTGGATTTCTCACAAAGGAAATTGGCCCATGCATGGCTATTGAATCAGTGCTGCCATGGAAGAAAGAGGGTCTGAGATTTCCTATTTTATCATCTTAATGGTGTCTTTTAATTAACAGATTTTTTTCATTGTAATCAAATTTTTCAGGTTTTTATTAAATATCTGTGTTTTCTGTGTCTTGTTTATAAAATGTTTTATTCCAAGGACATAAAGATATTCTTCTATATGCACTTCTAAAATCCATTTGCATTTGTTTTTAAGCCACATGCAGTTGATTTTTATGTATGTATAGATTTTAAATCTATATGCATATTAATGTATGTAACCATATATGAATTCATGTATATATGTATGTATAATATATATTTATATAGGTGAGATTGTTTTATTTTTTCCATTTAGATAGGTAGTTGTCCCAGAACCATTTATGGAAGGGTCTATTCTTTCCTCACTTCTCTCAAGGGACATATTTTCATATATCAAGTATAATATACATGAGTGCGTCTGTTTGAGGGATCTCTTTAATGTTCCCTTGATTTATTTGTCTATCCCTATTCAAATATCACACAGTGTAGATTACTATATCTTTCTAATTTGTCTTAGTATCAAATAAATTAAGTCAGTCTATCTGGTTCTCTTTTTTTCACGAGTTTATTTGCTCTTTGTGTTTATTAGCCTTTTGTGTTTAATTAAATTTCAGAAGTAGCCTGTTATCATCTTTCACAGACAACAAAACTTAGAATTTCATTGGAATTGCATTGAACCTATAAGTCAATCTGGGGAAAATTGACATCTATAGAATAATGAGTCTTCAAATTCATTAACTTGGTATTTTTCTCCATTTACAAGTTTTCTTTAACATCAGTAAAATGTTATACTTTTTCTAGTAGAGTTCTTAAATATTTTTGTTGGGTTTAGCATTAGGTATATATATTTTTAACAGTTAAAAATTTTAACCCTTTAAATTTTCTTTTTCTAATGGTTTGTAGCAAATATATGGAAATATAATTAATTTTTTTGCTTGTTTTTTATCCAGAAAACTGACTAAATTCTTTTGTAGCTACATCATAATAATAACGCTGAGACTTTCTTTCTCTCCAGGTCTCATACATCCTATCTTTTTTTTCTTCCCCCACTGTACTAGAGAAGCCCAATATTGAAGACAAGTGCTGATAGTGGACATTCTTTCATGTTTTGAAAGTGAAATGGTTCAGCATTCCATGACTAAAGTTTTCTTCAGGGGAGGTGCAGTTATCAAAGTAACATGACAGACATGAAAAAGAACCAAATGAAAATAAAGAGCATTTTTAAAAAATCACATCACTCTCTCAATTGATGGAAAAACATTTTTAATATTAAATTAAAAATCCACTGATGACAAAAAAATGCTTGATGAACTAGGGACAGAAGGGAACTTCCTTAATCTGACTAGATACAATATACTTAATCATGAAGCTTTTGAGGCTTCAGCTCAGAAGAAGGGATATCCTGTGAGATTCCCCAGCCTCAGTAGGCCCTGGACCCTGATTTTTCTCTGGACTTCTTCCTGACATGGAGCCAGACTTCAAATGTTGTCATCAATAAGTGCCTTCTGGATCAAGATAGCATTGGTGCTACAGTATTCCACAACCTCCCAAGATCTCATTCAAAACCCAGCCAAGGAAGGCCCACTGATTTTTCACATCTTGAATATTATTTAGTTGCTGTACATATACAGACACACATAAATGTAAATACAAACACACACACATATTTTGTCCAACATATTTTATTTTCAGTGGGAAGATTAATCTGAGTAATCTAATTTATCATTGCTAAAAACCAGACTTAGATGACATTTTTAAAATGTCTTTTATCAAAACAGTTGATTGAGCAGATAATTTTCCAGTTGTATTTGGCTTTATTTACTTTTTTATTTTTTGGCAGTATTCCTCCTTGAATACTACTTTGCATATGGTGCCTCTGCTAGCTACAGCGCTTTTCCCACACCTGTATTTTGCTGAGCTCACTCTTCCTCATACTTCAAGATAGTCCAATAATCACATCAGGAAGGCTTACCCATTTCATTTCTAAACAATCCAAGTTCAGTAGACCCCATGCACTTTATAGCAGACAGAGAGGATATGTTTAACGACCTAAGTGTTACAGGAGTACTAGCCAATATGAACAGATCTACAGACTAATAAGAATAGATGTGATCTATAAACAACCAGGACCTGTATAAACTAAGTAAATGTCAGCTATGCGCAAAACATGTAGGACAGTAAGATGTGGTAAGATACAAAGACTATCATGGGGCTTCTCATGCTGTTCTGTAACTTGCGGTTTATTTATCTTTTATGGTAATCTGTGAGATTGTTATGAACAAGGACCAATCATACTCACTCTGGAATCCTGAGTTCCATGGAATCTTGGTTAAAAAAAAAAGAGGTCCCAGTAAATATTATTTGAATTAGGTAAAGGAAATTCTACTGAGAGAATGTTCACTAAATAAATCACTTCCTATTACTTCACAGCTTTAATTCCTGGAAGTCCGTGAACAATGAATCCATTTCATTCATCTTATTGGAACACCTCTACTGAACTTTTAAACAAATCCTGGAATAAAGAGTTTGCTTATCAAACTGCCAGTGTTGTAGATACAGTCATCCTCCCTTCCATGATTGGGATTATCTGTTCAACAGGGCTGGTTGGCAACATCCTCATTGTATTCACTATAATAAGGTAAGGGCTACTTTTTATTTCCTTCCATACTTCAGAAAACTACATTCAAATCTCCCAAAATAAATCCTTTGCCCTGTAGTATTTTGCTTAATGAAATGCAATTTTGGAAATATTTGCTTAAGATAGGATAAAGAAGATTCTACAAGTACTTTCACCATGTGTTAGGTAACATCTCAGTTGCATATCTCAACATGCTCAGACCTAGGCCAATGCTTACTGCTGGGTCAGTGAGATTTTAGAGCAATGATTCTCAGTCTTAGATGCATATTAGAAGCACCTGGGGAGCTTTAAAAACTCCTGATATGCAGTTTCACCCCAGATCCATTAACTCAGAATCTCTAAGACTAGGGCCTGGGTAGGATTTGAAATTGCAATGCGACAATTTATTTACCAGCAATAAGAATTATCCTTAAAAAATGACCTGTTTAGGCAGGTAAACGAGATTCTTTTACTCACTTGGGCAAAAGAGAGACTATCTGATCACCAGAGGATGCAGGAGTCATGGGCTGTTCATCTTCATGTAGACCAGCCTATATCACTCAAACTAAGAGACATCTGCCCCCCCAGTACCTACTGCCTGGGTACCACATCTCCCACCTAATTCAGGTAATTTCCTCATCTCAAGTAGAGCATAAGATTTCACCTGGAGAATCAGAACTGATTATTTGTTTTCTAGGGACTTGACCAAATGGACTCAGAATTAATGCACACAAGCCCTATAACTAGTTGATATGTATTTGCTATCCTGATTATTTTCAAGTGTAAGATTTGCTGGTTTTAATAAATACAGGATGTTAACTTTTTCATCCTGGTTTCTGATTATACTTAAAATCACCATTTTTAAAATGTTTGTCCATATTTATATGTTACAAAAGATATTTTAGACTGCAAGTTCAATATCCCTTATCCAAAATTCTTGGGACAAGAAGTGGTTCAAATTTCAATTTTTTTTTTATTTTGCACTGTTTGTATATGCATAATGAAATATCCTTGAGATGGGACCAAGTCTAAACATAAAATTCATTATGTCTGATTTATACCTTATAAACATAGCCTGTAAGTAATTTTATGTAATATTTTAAATAATTTTATGCATGAGACAAAGTTTCTGTGCATCGAACCATTAGAAAGCAAAGGCATCACTCTCTCAGCTACCTATGTGGATATCTGTGGTGATTTGGCATCACTTTCATTTCTGACTCCATATTTACATCCAACTGATAAACAATCACTTTCTTACACTTATTCACACAAAAGTACTTAGCAGTAAAAACTATGACCATTAATAACACTAATACAGTGAAAAAATAATGTGTTCGGAGTAACTAGGCAGCCCAGTAACATCACCGGAATACCTGCATTGGCTGCGAAATAACAGCAGCTGAGGGGGCTCGGAGGACCATTTTTCCCTTGGAGATGCTGTCTGTTGTGCAGCAGCATTTTGACTGCCACCCCATCAGATGAGGTCAGGTGTGGAATGTCCCACTTGTAGGGTCATGTTATTCCTCAGAAACTTTCAGATTTTGGAGGATTTCAGATTTAGATTTTCAAGTTAGGGATGCCCAAGCTGTGTTACCTAACAGGTGTTTTCGGCATCATATTAATACATGCAACAAACTTTTGGGGTGCATATTACACTTAAAAAACAGCTGTAAATTCATTTAGTCTCCAAACATCAGTACTACTACTATAGCTATTTTGGGAAAGAGGCTCAGATGAGTAAATAACTGGTCCAGCATCAAAGAGCTAGTGAGTAGCAATCCTGGCAATTGAACTCAAATCTTATTCCGAATTCTAGGCTATTTTCTCCAAAACTAATGAAAACAAAGAGGTCATCAAAATTAGAAAGACAGTTGTTGGATTTGCCATAAAGATAAAAGAATACTCACAGGCTTAATTGAGAGCAAGAAGAGCCCTCAGGTTGGTCACACAGATGGTGCTCATCATCCCTGAGAAGGCTTAGAACTTGTCACTTCCCCAGGTGGCATCTCATCAGCCAGCCCTCTCTCAAACTTTCATTTTCGCCATCTCTGCAATTAGAAGTAGAGAACAATGGTATTTTTTACACCAGCCATAGCTTAAGATTTATTTAATACATTGGGATTCTACTCTTAATAAATTTCAGGCATTCCTTATTGTGTCCTATAAAGACATTTATGAATATCAAGCATTTTAAACACTTTTTGAATACTGGAAGAAATTCAACTCAATATATATTACTAAATACCTGTTGCCTGCCCCTCATTGCTCTAGGGTTTATGAAAATACCAAAAACTGTCAGCGTCTATCTAACAAGCTGATATTCTAGTGGAGAAGATGAGATCTAAACTCATGGAATAATTTGAAAAATAATACAAGAAAGACATTAAAAACAATCCTTTGAGGGAAAAAAAAGATGGCTCAGATATGTTCCAAGAAAGAAAATGGAAGTAATCAAATATTCTAAGGGAGCCTCAAAGAGGCAATAGTGCTGAGTAGAGACTGAGTAGCCAGAGACTTGAGAATGTTTCTAGCTCACCCCCACTGGCCTGATGGACCTGCCTAGTTCTCCTTCCATCTCTCCCTCATGCCCCTCAGTATTTCTGCCCTGCTCTTCTACAGATACATATAAGGTGTCCTAAACCCAAAAGCCTTGGTACCGCCATTGAAAAACCAAGTCCTTATTAGTTGCTAGCCCTTCTGAAATGTTTGCATCTTCACAGGCAGTGTTTATATGCAAAAACTCTTCAGTGTGGGATTCCAGGTCTTGTGACCAGCTGTTGAAGAGATATTTGGAGCTAGAGAAATTTCTTGGACTCCTGAATTTACACCAGTAGATAACAGCTTAATCCCATCTACTTATACGGAGAAAAAGTCAGAAAAAAGGAAGACATGTGCAATGTGAACTCTTCTAAAAGTTAATTCTGAGCTATAATTTATGAAAACAGATTTTCAACATAAAGTCAATAATAGTCAAAAAGTGGGGGAAAAAACACCTGAACCATTATACTGACCAATTTGTTTGCATTATTGTGAACAATTTATCATTTCTTTATATTATAATTTTATACATAATGTGAGAATATACATTAGATAAAGGATGCTAATGGAGCTTTTAAAATAAACATTTTAATTTCAAAAAGTACTGGGAACAACTTTTAATTAAAACAAGTTTTAATTTTTTTGCTAAGACTTTAATACTTTTCTTTGCAAATTGCTCTAAAAATTTATTAATCTTTCAAAAGTCATTTGAAAGCAACTTACCTTTATTTATTTATTTGGCTAGGAATTTATCAACTTTTTTGCAAATTGCTCTCTAAATATTTTAAGGCAATTTTTATTAATGTTTTCATCATGCTTTGCCATGATCTTTTATTTGTTACTTTCTGAACAGACAGGTGAATTAAATAAAATATTAAGACTATAATAAAAATAAGGAGAAATAAATAACATTTAAACAACATTTAATGACTTTCCTTTTTATGGCAATAATTGTAGCAAAACCAGTGTTCATCAATAGAACTAAAAGTTAGTAAAATCATTGAAGATTCTGGAAGGCAAGCAATGAACTAATTTCTGACTTTGCCAAATGAAGACTAGAAGCATATATAAAATAAATATGTTTAAGGAAGATGGAGCTTCAAGAATAAGATGTTCTATGTGCCTTTTTTAAAAAGCAAGAAGCAATTTGTGCATTAAGAGGGTGACTGTAAAATAATGAGGCCAGATCATCAGTAGTCTGTTGTACATTAAATTTATAGCAGGTCAAAGGAAGCCAGTTCAGAAGATGTATGCAGAAAATTGAGTCAATTATAATATTTTGTTCTTGCATTCCCAGGAGACAGGTTATTGAACTCAATCCCATTACTCAACTATTCTCCACAAGCACAGCAGGCCCTGGGAATCACCTGTACTTCAATAAAGGGACTGACACTTTTTTGTCAGACCCCCATATCCACCTTCTGAACTCACCTTTCTTCTATTACTGATAGACTCCCTTGAAGTGGGCAGAGTCTCTGTAAAAGGTGCCCTATCCTCCAAAAGTAAAGAGTTCCCATTTTGTCACTTCCTGCCCTCATCTCCCTGTCAAGTCAACTAATTCACATTAAGTTATGAATTCATGAAACAGAGGTTACAAGATGGACAATGTGTTAACCTAGAGGAGTACTATCTAATGATGAAATTCCAGTTGCTGACAGGATGGGAAACGTTTTAGAACAGAGGTCTCTTCCTTTTTACCCCACCCAGATTAAACAATAACTAACAGCTCCCTCTACCCAGCCCTCTACCATTCCAAGTGTCAGCCATACACAGACTCTTGTTGGAATTGACCCCCATCCTTGGCTGCACAGATATGTTTTAGATGCCAGAGTACCACGCAACCACATCTGTTCATATGTACTGTGGTCCAGTTGGCCAATATCTTCAGCTGGCTTGGGAATCCAAAGGAGTTAAATGGCTTGCCTAAGGGCACAATGAGTGATGCCATAGAAATGAACATAAAATTCCCAGTTAGGTTCTCTTTCCACTATATTACTCTATGTATCTAGAGCAGGGCTGGCAAATAGGTAACTCTGCTGTAAACTCTCACCCTTAGCAGTCATCCCTAATCACACAGGTCTGTCCTGTAAAGCATCTGTGTAAGGACTCAGAATTCTCAATACAGTGCTTCAGGAAATGACTGTTGATGCATTGGCATTGGCTCGTGATAGCAATTTAATTCAACTAAATGCCAAACGGGATGGTAAGGCAACCCAGAGATTAACAAGAGCAGGAAGTCAGTTCTACATCCCTCACCCCAATGCCACTTTCCTCTCCCTGCCCCAAGCTGGAGGGAGAAAGAGAGAAGGAAATTTTACAGACCTCAGGAGTCTAGGCTGCCTGATGGGAGCTGGAGCCACAGTGGTATCTTGGACCATGGAGTGAGGGCTACAGGAGAAGCTGGAACCATGAGAGAGATGCAGCCACTGCCCAAGATGCCAACAGCAGAGAGGGTAAAGAAATATTCTGGCTTCTCCTTTCCTCCTAACTCTCCAGTTCCCACTGGTGCTTCTGATTGGCCAAACCTAATCAGAAGCTAGTTGGCAAAGGGGCCTAAGGACAGGCTGGCAAATGACAAGCACAGCAGCCCGCATATGTAGTGTTATGTTTTGTTAGTTTTACTTAATCCATATCATATATTGTTATTTCTGATTGTAAAAGATTCGCATGGTTTTAATAGAAATTTTGAAAAAATGTCAGAAAATACAAACAATAAAGTAAAACATCAGTCACCAAATAGGTGATCACTGTCATCACCTGACATATTGTTCCTGCAAAATTTTTAACAAATAAATTTAGAGTCATGCTATATACATAATTTTGTATACTTAAAGAATTATATAAAATTTCTTTAAAAAGAAAGAATACTGATTATGTATATTTAAGAATTTCTTGAGGGGGAGGGGCAAAAAAAGAATTTCTTAAAAAGAAAGAATACTGATTATATATATAGCATGACTCTAAATTTATTTAATTTTTTTAACTTAATAGTGTAAGTATTTTCCCATGTGATTAAATATTCTTTCAAACTATGACTTATGACAGCTACATCCTATTGAGTGTGGTAGTGTGGAGTACTATAATTTATTTTATCATTCCTCAAATTAATGAGCATTAGATATGACCACATTAACCATATGGAACACACGTTAGCCAAAATTATAATAAGTCTTTGTATTTTATTTTAAATGTATACATCATAAGAAACATAAATCTTATGAAGTCTGACAACAGGAAATCTGAAGATAAATGAGATCTAAAAAGGAATATAATGTATGTAGTTAGAGATTCTACAATTTCTATTTAGTTGTTTTTAATTTTGATGTTGTGGCTTTCAGTAAAGAAGACAACAATAAATATAATGCGTTATTTATATTGCCCTAGCAATTTATGTCCAGATAAATGATACATTTATCAATTACTTCAAATTCTCTTTGTACTATACAGAATATCATCTAGAAACACTTTATTTCATTCTTTTTAATTGCCAGTTAATGGCCTGCACTGTCCCCACAATAGAATTACCATAATTCATTATCAGTAAACGATGTGTACCCCTCCAGAGAAAAGCAAGAGCGGAGGATCTAATTGCTGCAATTGAGACCTAAGCAATTGCTTATGGTTTACACCCCAATTCACATGGAAATAACATCTATTTATAGACTAAGATTTATGATTTTTTTTTTTTTTTTAGTTTGGAGCTCTTTCTGACTGCTGATATCTGTCCCTCTTCTCTGTCCCTTCTCCATTTCCCATACTCAATGACCTGGAGAGGACAAGGGATGAGAGTACAAGGATAGTCAGCTGGCTGCTCTTTTGTTTGACATTATCTTTTCTTCATGTCTCTTCTCCCTCTTGGTCATTCTGGTGTGAGCCACCAAGCTTCTGAGGGCAAGAGACCAACCTGTTTCTTTAGTGGCAACAAGAATGTGTTGTTGAATGGTATGGTTGCTGAATAAGGACTTCATGGCAGTAACTTCTCCACACAGTGAATGCTGCCAAGGCCTGGAGAAGAGATGGGCTCACCCCGTCTGATGTTTCACATAAGAATCTAACAGCTGAGAAATGAAATTCACAGGCTATAGAAGTTGTAGCCAATGAATAATGAAGATACACAATAACTTCCAAACAGCAGAGCACGAGCCCTGAAATAGGAGTAAACTAGCAACTATGGCATAATCTTAAGACTGTTTCTTATATGCTCTTTAAATTCATATGTGCCCACATCTGCCAAGAAACCTGTCTTGACACTTCCCAGGAAAGAGGAGAGGGTCCCCTTCTTTGTGCTTCTTGTACTTGTCTCTAGTTTTCACCTATCAAATTGTAATGTGATTGTTTATTTATGCATGTCTACACAATAAGCTCCTTGATGACAAGGTTTATACATAATTTAGCTTTACAGCTTTAGAGCACAATATTATGCCTGCCATATAATTGATGCTCAATAAAGTGTTTGTTGAATTAATGAACAGCATCTCCCAAAGATGATACCTGTTTATTATTGAATGTGCCAGCTCCTTAAAATACGAACCAATTAAATTTTAAATTTCTGCTCTCAGAAATGTATTTCACCTGGTGATGAGAATGCCACATCTAGATAGCACTGAATTCACTTCTCCCACCTTCTGCTCCCCACAGGAGACATGAGATCATTCTCAGTGCTGTCTATCAGCTCCCTCTTTTCAGATGACTCTCCTCCCTGTCTGGATCTGAGGGTCTTTATTAACAGTATTTGCTAGTCATTAGATTTTACTGGAATATTTCTAAGTCATTGTTGAAATCTTAACAATGGCCTCAGCTGCAACAGGAAGAAAATGCATTAGGCAACAGAAATCATTTATTTTCACTCTTCAGCTGTTTTAAATACTAGGAGTGAGTAAAGACTGAATTTTTGCCTGAGTATATTTAAAGTTGGTATAACTTGTCGCTGCATAAAAAATTACCCCAAACGTCTCAAAAAAAAATTACCCCAAACATAGTGGTCTGAAACAATAAACATTTACTGTCTCACATGTTTCCAATGGTCAGGGATACAGGAGCAGCTTAGCTAGTTGGTTCTCTCATGATCTGTCAGAAAGTTGCCGTCAAGCTGTCTTCCAGGGTTACAGTCATCTGAAGGCTTGGCTGCAGCTGGAGGATCTACCTCCAAGGTAGCTCACTCCCATACCTGGCAAGCTGGTGCTGACTTGTTGTTGACTGCAGCTTCAGTTTCTCTCCACATGGACCTCTCCATACTTGAGTATCCTCACAAGATAGCATCAGGCTTCCACCAGGGAGAGCAATCCAACAGAGAGCAAAGAGAAACCCCCACAGTAACTTTGTGACCTAATTTCAAAGTCACACACTGTCACTTCTGCCATATTCTCATTGTTAGGAGCAAATTAATAAGATCAGCAGTCAAAGAGTGGGAATTAGGCTCCAACTACTGAAAGGAATATCAAAGAATTTGTGGACTTTTTTTTTTTTTTCCGAGATGGCGTTTTGCTCTTGTTGACCAGGCTGGAGTGCAATGGTGTGATCACTGCAACCTCTGCCTCTTGAGTTCAAGCGAATTCTCTTGCTTTGGCCTCCCTAATAGCTGGGATTACAGGTGCCTGCCACCATACCCAGCTAATTTTTTGTATTTTTAGTAGAGATGGGGTTTCACTATGTTGGCCAGGCTGGTCTCCAATGCCTGACCTCAGATGATCCACTCACCTCAGCCTCCCAAAGTGCTGGGATTACAGGCACGAGCCACTGAACCTGACTTGTGGACATATTTTTAAACCACCATGGTAAGTTACCAAATAAATAGTTCAAAATGCTTAAATATACACAAGTCTAGGCATTTCCTCTATGCGTTTGTGTAGGTTTTCCTTTAATATTTAAAATGCATTATGGCAATGAAAAATTTGTATCAGTTAGCATATATTGAAGAGTCTGCATACATTCATTGTCAATCCTCAGTTTCCTCCATCTCTTTCAGATCCAGGAAAAAAACAGTCCCTGACATCTATATTTGCAACCTGGCTGTGGCTGATTTGGTCCACATCGTTGGAATGCCCTTTCTTATTCACCAGTGGGTCCGAGGGGGAGAGTGGGTGTTTGGGGGTCCTCTCTGCACCATCATCACATCCCTAGATACTTGCAACCAATTTGCCTGTAGTGCCATCATGACTGTAATGAGTGTGGACAGGTAAGTGAAGGACTTTGAAATATCTTAATATAATTCAAAGGTGCCTGTGCTTCCCCAAGCTCATTCCAATTTAAGCAACATCAGATTTGATTTATAACAGCACAGTTCTTCTTCGTTTGTTTCATTGCAGGACTGATTACTTAAGAATATTTTATTTAATTTTCATAGAGGTCTATTTTTAATGGAAAATAAAACACAACAATCTTCTTTTTTCTAATCATTCTTTTTTACTCTGCTTTATTTGCAATTCACTGTAAAGAGAAAACCACAAAACCATGAAATATTAGAAACCAGAATGAATTTCCCCCATCATTTTTACAGTAAGAAAACTGAGGCCCAGAGAGGTGAGGAGATTTGCTAGAAGGACACAGAGAATTAGTGGCAGGGCCAAGAATTAAAGTAGGTTTCCTTAGTCCCTGTCCAGGGCTATTTCTGATACATTTACTGTCTCATATACTTGTTATTGCTTCATAGCTCTAAGGAATCAGTAGAGTAGAGGTTCATATACGACCATGAAGCAATTTCCCAGTGCCAGGAAGACCATCTTTTACAAACATTATTGTGATTGGTTAATACAAATGCTGTCATTTTATATCATTAGAAATATATTCCACTATGTCCTGGAATGTGCCATAGCCCTTTTCACCACTCATGCAAGCTAATGTTGTTTTAGGAGATGATGATGGTGGTTAGTACTTATGGAGTCAGTGAGTGGGAGAGCTCAGTTCAGATCCAAGCCATCTGACTGTAGAAATGGCAGGTAGTTGTAACTGCCTCACTGTCTGGCCTGTCCAGAAAACTTGCAATGTAGGATAAGACCTGCATTATCCAGATGCAGAATGTCCACACCAGGTCCTAGAAGCTCACCTCAAACAGAAACAGGGCCTAAAGACAACCATAGTATTTCCAACAGTGATACTCTGTCTTCCAGAGCAACCCACGTAAAATCTCCATCTGCCTTCCTTCCCAACCCAACCTTAACCCAACATATTTAATCCTCCTTGCTCTGATCTACTCTTTCTCCTTGGATTCAAATATATTACATAAATCACTTTGTGTGTGTGTGTGTGCCTGTGAGTGTGTGATTTATTGTCTAGTTACCCTGCACTTCAAATGTAAATTCCACAAAGGCAGGGTCTTTGTCCACCAATGTATCCTAAATGTGTGTGTGTAACAGTGCCTGGCACTCAGGTGCTCAAAAAATATTGATGAATGAGTGAATGAATGAATGTCTTGAAGGATATGTTAAATTTCCCTGGGTTCATCCGAAAATCTTCTTTAACCCTGCTTCTTTCACTCTTCCAAATGGGACTTTCGGTGGGGAAGTGATGAGCCATTCTTTAGATGAACAAAAAAAGAAAAAAATGGCAAGGTTCATATAAATCATTCACTCTAAAAAAAAAAAAATGAATAATCATGGTAAGTTTTAAAAATCCTTTTGTTTTTCTGCAAGAGAATTTTCAAAATATAGAATGTGCTTCTCAACTTATAATTAACACATTTTTAAATCAATATATGGCATAGGTCTAGTTAGCTCAGCTGATGCCAGCCAATGTGACTGTGTTGTGAGAAAAGCCCCAGAAGCTTGTCAGGGTTCCAATACCAGGAAAAAGGCCTTGAACAGACCAGGTTCACTGTAGAAAAGCAATTTAAAGTACAGGCCATACCAATAGTAATCCCATCTTGGGGATAATATGAGCTTCTTTATACCCTGTGCCTTGGATGCAAGAGAATATTGGCCTTTTTTTGGGGGGGGGAGGGGAAGGAAGATGTATACTCCTATAAATTTCTTACTATAAATGAAGTAAATGGGCATTTTCTGTCTTGGAGCAACCAACTGTGTGTATTTCCTAATACTGACAGGTTTTTCTTTGTGTATGTGTGCACACATGCGTGCATGTGTATCTTACACCTAGCCTTTTGTTTTGTTTTGTTTTGTTTTAATCCAATGGACATAGTATGCTAAAATTTCATTTCCCATTTAAGACATTCTGCCCTTTTCTTCCCCTGGCCTTCACTCTGGAAGATCAGGTGGTAAGAAACAAATGAAGAGGTTATAAAGTGGAACGATTTCCTTCCTCATATTTCTTGTAATTCTAACTCTACTAAATGCATAAAAGTTTAACAAAATCTGCAATTTTGTAAAAGAGAAATGAGGCTTGCTTTGTATGAGCATAACTAAATGTCAGTGCCATCAATATGCCTTAGTGTTTACATATTTAAATCATTTTAATTGCCAATTTAATGGATCATACATTTCAAGTGTTTCCAATAACTCATTTTTCTTTCCCTAATTAGTAATAACTGCAAGTGTGTAGAATATTTAGTAGTGGACTCCTACCTCTATAGCCATACAAAAACAATATATAAACATCCAAAATGTTTGCCTTCAAATGAAAGCTATCTAGACTTTCATTAGTGGCTACTTTTATAAATAAATTCTCTAAAACATCGAGTCAGTAAGTAGGAGCCAAAATTTGCAATTTATTCATTAATGTATTCAAAAAGCATTTATTGAGCATGAACCATATGCCAGAGATTATTGGATGCAGGGGATACAGTGGCCTTAAACTAATAATCAAGGCTTCTGCCCTCATGGGGCTTTCATTCTAGTGGTATAGACAGACATTAAGTGAGGAGTCCTACAAGCAAATGTATATTTCCACATAGTGATAACACACTAGGAGGGAAAAGCAGAGTCTACCTATAATCTTTTATAGTTATGTTCTCTACTATAGAATGGGTAGTCAGAGAAGGCTTCTCTAAGAGGGAGACAGTTAAATAAGAACTTGAAGGAAGAGCGTGAAGAAGCAGAGGCAGATCCTGCCAGGCAGGTAGAACAGCATGTGCCTGACCTTGAAATGGGAAGAGCGTTGAGGAAGTCAAGGGAGAGATTAGCACAAGCTCCAGCTTGAGCAGCAGGCAGGACAAGGTGAAAAAAAAAGACCTGTGGATCATGGGAGGAATTCTGAAAATCGATGGAAAACCACTGAAAGATTTTCAGCTGGGGAGGGATGCTATCAGAGAAGATTCCTTAATTGCTTGATGCCATGACTTCATCATCCTATAATTCCAGTAAAAATGATGACTGGGCTGCTATGCAGTCACTACATCATCCACTTCCCCAGCAGGGAGAAAAGAGGCTCTTCTCTCCTTAGCCATGGGGAATGCTTGTGCAATGTGCAAAGGATGGGTAGCTGTGGAGCCCTGACCAGAAACCATTCTCTGCATGTCAAAGGTCCCTTAACTGAATGCAAAATAACCTGCTTCTGGTGCAAAATTGAAAGAACAAGAGGACAAGAAATTTTTCATTTTTATGAGTCTTCATTAAATAGCTTTACAAAAACTTGGAGAAAATTAATTGACCATAGAAACCATTTTTGCCTTTGTTGAATTTCTGCTAATACTATCCTCCACCACCCCCAAACCCCAGCAAAGCTGTGCTTTTTCAAATAGCCTTCCTTCTGAATCTGAGCTCTGTTTTTCATTCTTCAGCTTTCATTTTGCTCTGAAAAAAATCTTGGATTTGCTGGAGGACCAAATGTATTTGATATGTCAGAATTTCAAATTTGATTAATGATTACCCCTTTTTTTCCCTGGCTCTAAAATGAAAAGAGAAAACATAAAGAAAAATGCTTCCCCATGAAATGAGCCCATTTCTTCCCTCTGGCTTCTAGCCTAAGTTCCTTAAGGAATTTGCATTGTGTATACTAGTCACACTTGTTCATCCTCACTGTGACTTCTGTGAGCTGAAACCCCATGGGCCTGGCGACTTTAGTGTAAAACCATCTGGGCAAAATGTTTGTTCTGTGTGCCTGAACCCCCTTCTGCCAAGGGATTCTCTTAGCCCCACACATTCGCCTTCTTCCTGCCTCTGTGTCAATAAATCCTGCTGGGAAAAGTGTCATTTCCTCCTGGAGGAAATCCCTGTTCAGAGACAAAGTTGTCCAGAGTCTCATTTACAGGAAAAGCCCCTTTGTAAGGAAAGAGTTTGCACTGCAGAATTTTACGATTATCAGTGTGTTCATAGAAAGAACAGCTATTTCAGTGAGTGGTTTATTCAGACTTGGAGGGTCAAGAATTGTTTTCTCTACAGATACTAGGAAGCTCTTAAAAAATAAAACTTTCTTTTGCTCTGATAGAGGTGTGCTTCACAATAATGCTAATAATTTACTCTCATTGTGAACCTTTCATCCTTGGAGCTCAGTGCTTTTATTGATTGTTCTAAAACTCTTTCTAAATGGCTTTGCAGGTACTTTGCCCTCGTCCAACCCTTTCGACTGACAAGTTGGAGAACAAGGTACAAGACCATCTGCATCAATTTGGGCCTTTGGGCAGCTTCCTTTATCCTGGCATTGCCTGTCTGGGTCTACTCGAAGGTCATCAAATTTAAAGACGGTGTCGAGAGTTGTGCTTTTGATTTGACATCCCCTGACGATGTGCTCTGGTAAGTTGTTAAAACTTAAGAAGAATGAGTTGAATTAACTTGTGAAGTACTTCATTCTCCTTGTCAACATGTGAGCAGCCTTGAAGAGTATCCTTGTGGATCTTCTTCTTACCAGTCTCTCTGCTTATGTTTCTCCGCACATGCAATCAAGGTGATAGTTTGATTTTAAAGGGGAGGGTAACCGTTAGAAAAAGATTTTTAATTCAATCATGTGACCTAAGTGGACAAACATATATTTAAATATGGATTTTAAAGATTCATAGCAGCCAGATGCAGTGGGAATGCAGCAATCAAAGGAGGTAAGGAATTTCCAGAGTCACCCAGAGTCAAACCTCATCAGTATGCAATTGTAGTTTGCTTGAATTGTGTCCCCTGTAAAGATATGTTCAAGCCCTACACCAGCGCCCCCCCACACACCTGTGAATGTGACCTCATTTTGAAATAGGTGTTTTTCAGATGTGATCAAGCTAAATTAAGGTCATGTTGGATTAGGGTAGGCCCAATGACTGTGTCCTGATAAGGAGAAGCAGATTTTAAGAAACGCAGAGGCACACAGAAAAGAGAATATATGTGAAGACAGAGGCAGAGATTGGAGTGATATGTGTGTTAGCCAGGGAACACCAAGGATTACCAGAAACCAGCAGAGCGGGTAGGAGGGAGCATAGAGCAGATTCTCCTTCAGAGCCTATAAAGGACCAAACTTGCCAGCACCTTGGTTTCATATGTCTAGCTTTCAGAACTGTGAGAGAATAAATTGCTAGCCTTAAGCTATCCAGTTTGTGCTAATTTCTTACAGCTTTCCTAGGAAACAAATAGAACTATCATCACCATTTTATACAATTTAATTTAAAAAAAATTAAAAGTCTTTAATTTGATATGTAAACATAGAATTGGAATTCATGATTAAACTCTTTGAGCAACTACCAATGGCCAATAACTGCTAGATATTTTTTCATGTGCTGTCTCATATCAGCCTGGCAGATTCCTTTCTCCTACTCCATCACTTGTCAAATAGATGAGTCATTCTGCATTATGTGGACATAGCCAAGGAAGAATGGAGGTAAAGGACCTGCAAATGCACAAATCCAGTAAAAAAAATTTCATATGTGTGCATCTCTTGTTCAGTTTAATATAACAAAGCATTATAAACTAGATGGCTTGTAAACAATAGAAATTTATTTTTTACGGTTCTGGAAGCTGGAAGTCCAAGATGAAAGTGCCAGCATGGTCAAGTTCTGATGACAGCCCTCTTGCAGGTTGCAGTCTGCCAAATTCTCATTCTAGCCTTATGTGGCAATAAAAGAGAGAGAGGAGGCAAGCTGTCTTGTATCTCTTCTTATAAGGACACTATTCCAATTCCTGAGGGCTCTACTCTCATGACTTCCCCAAAACCCCATTTCCTCATACCATTATATTGGGGGTTAGGTTTTCAACATGGGAACTTTGAGGGAACACAAACATTTAGAACGTAACAGTGTAACATAGATAGGATTGGACTTCCAGTTCCAAAATGGCAGCATAGAAGCAAGCTAACTGCACCCCCCCACACACAAGCCCTCAGAAAATAAAAAACAAATACACAGCACCAAGGTTATCATTAGCAATATCCCAGAACTCCAGAACTCAAATATGAGGATGAGACGGTTCCTTGGGCTTCAGAGAAGTGAAAAAAAGAAAATGAAAAAACCCCTAAACAGACTGTAACAGAATCAGACTTCCACATCTGTGACACCCTCTCCCCCATTCTGCCTGACACCAAACACATGAAAAACTTCCCCACAACTCACAGTTTCTACTCTGAAAAAAAATGAGATCAAGGTAGACAACCAGCTTTCCCACCACCTTGGATTCCCTAACAAAATACCTGTCTCTGCCTTAACCTATGGGAAGTATCACAAGTGCTGGAAGAGAGAAATATCCCTGAGAACAGACAGAGACAAAGTGGATAGGTGGGACATTTGCTCTGTAACTCAGCCAAAGAAGACACTAAATCCAAATGGCTATTCAACAGCACCACACTGCAGGAGGTATATTCAGCAGGAGTTCTGGGCACAAACCCCTAGCCAGGCTTCCCACACCTCCAGGATATATCCTTTGGGACCTCTCCCATTAAGGACAGGCTGTGATTGATGGGTTACTAGTGTCTCATCCTCATATTTGAGTTCTGGAGTTGTGGGATATTGCTAATGATAACCTCAGTGCCGTATATTTGTTTTTGATTTTCTGAGGACCAAACTTAGGTGGTTAAGGCATCACTAGAGCCAAATAATCTCTAAGCAAATATATGCAATAAAAACCAAAACAAGTCAGACAGAGAAGGTTGAAATAAATAGCAAATCCTCAGTGCAAAGACATAGATGTGCATCCGCAAGAAGCAACAGCAAACAGTGAGCCATGATCTCTCCAAATGGACAAAGCAGGGAACTAGTAACTGACCTTAATGAGACAGCACTATGTGACCTCTCTGGCCAATAATTCAAAATAGTAATTTTAAGGAAACTCAGTGATCTCCAAGATAACACAGAAGAGCAATTCAGAAATATATCAGAGAAATTTAACAAAGAGATTGAAATAATTTAAAACATTAAAAAGAAAGCTTGGAACTGAGAAATACATTTGTTGAACTGAAAAAGTTACTAAAAATTCTCAACAGCAGAATGGGTTTAGCAAAGGAAAGAATTAGTGAGCTTGAAGGCAGGCTATTTGAAAATAATCAGAAAGAAAAAAGAATAAAAAGAAATTAAGATACAGAAAAAAATTACTTCAAAATCTAAGACTTATCCATGTTCAAGAGGGAGTTAAGCAATAGCAAGGAGTAGAAAGCTTATTCAAAGAAATAATAACAGAAAATTTCCCAAAACTTGAGAAAGATGTAAATATCCAGATGTAGGAAAATCAGAGAACACCAAACAAAATCAACCCAAATAAGACTCTCCCCAAAGCAGATAATAAATTCTCAAAAGTCAAGAAAAAGATAGAACTCTAAAATCAGGAAGAGAAAAGAAGCAAATAACATATAAAGGAGCTCTAATTCATCTGGAAATGGACTTCCTACCAGAAACCATACAGGCCAAGAGGAAGTAAAATGACACTTTCAAACTGAAAAAAAAAAAAAAAGCAAGATACTGCAGTCAGCAAAATTATCCTTCAACTATGAAGAAGAGATGAAGTGTTTCCCAGACAAGGAGCTGAAGGAATTCCCCACGACCAGATCTGTCTTACAAGGAATGTTAAAGGGAGTTCTTCTCTTGGAAAGAAAAAAAAAAAAAAACACTAATGTGCAAAAAGAAAACATTTGAAGGTATGAAACCCCTGGATAAAACTAGATACAGTAAAAAGCAACAAGCAACAAGTATTAAAATACTCTAATATTGTAATTGTGGTACACAATCCATTTATAATTCTAACATGAAACCCAAAAGACAAATCTATCAATAACAATAACAGCTATAGCGACCTGTTATGAGACAGATAATATGAAAATATGTAAATTGAGACAACTAACAGGTAAAATATGGGGGAATGGAGTTAAAATGTAAAATTTTTTTCCATTTTTTCTTTGCTTCTATTCTTTGTGATGTAAGATAAATTATCATCTCTTTAAAATAATTTGTTATATGTGTAAGAGTTTTTGGCAGCATCCTTGTAACCACATTGCAAAAATCCATAATAGATTTTTAAAATAAGAAGTAATGAATTAAGACATTCCACTAGAGAAAATCACTTTTCAACAAAGGAAGATGGTAAGAAAAGAAGAAAGGAAGAGAAAAGTTACAAAACCAGAAAACAAGCAACAAGATGGCAGTAGTTAAGTCCTTACTTATCAATAATAACACTGAATGTAAATGGTCTTGATTTTCCAGTTAAAAGGCAGAGAGTGGCTTACTAAAGAAACAAGATTCAACTATATGCAGCCAACAAGAAACCCACTTCACCTATAAAGACACACATAGACTGAGAGTGAAGAGATGGGAAAAGACATTCCATACAGCTGGAGATCAAAAAAGATCAAGAGCAGCTCTATTTAGATAAAACAGACTACAAATCAATGGCTGTAAAAGAAGACAAAGAGGGTCACTCTATAATGATAAAGGACTCAATTCAGCAAAAGGATATAACAATTATAAATATCTCTGCACTCAAGATTGGAGCTCCCAAATAAATAGAGCAAACACTAATAGATCCTGAAGGAAAAGAGAGGCTGCCAAGTAATAATAGACAGAGACTTTAACACACCATTCTCTGTAATCGACAGATCATTCAGTCAAAAAATCAACAAAGAAACAGCAGATTTAAACTACACACTAGACCTAATAGACTTGACATTTATAGAACATTTCACCCAACTGTTGCAGAATGCAAATTCTTTTCATCAGCATATAAAATATTCCTTAACCCTATCGAGCCACAAGATACATCTGATTAAATTCAAAAAAGTAGAAGTTATAGCAAGTATCTTCGACCACAGTGGACTAAAACTAGAAATTAATAACAAGAGGAACTTTGGAAACCACACAGACACTTATAAATTAAACAGCATGCACCTGAATATCAGTGGATTAATGAAGATATTAAGAAAGAAATTTAAAAATTGTTTTGAAACAAATGAAAATTGAAATACAGCATAACAAAATCTATTGGATATAGCAGAGGCAGTAAGTACTAACAAGGAATTTTATAGCAATAAATGCTTATATCAAAAAAGCAGAAATACTTAAAATAACCCACAAATGTGCCTTAAAGAATTAGAAAGGTAAGGTCAAACCAAACCCAAAATTAGTAGCAGGAAAGAAATAATGAAGATTAGAGAAGAAATAAATAAAATTGAGACTAAAAAAAAAATACAGATGATCAACAAAATGAAAAGTTGGTTTTTCAAAAAGATAAAACCAACAAACCTTTAGCTAGACTAAGAAAAACAGAGAGAAGATCCAAATAAACAAAATCAAAAACAAAAACAAAAAATGCAAACATAACGACTGAGACCTCAGCAAAACAAA